CGACGCGGGGCTCGAACTCACGGACCGCGAGATCGTGACCTGGCTGAAGTCGGACGCTTAACCGACTGCGCCACCCAGGCGCCCCTGGAAGATTTTAATCCACGAGGACGCCGTGATCAGGCTTGCAAGATAGAAAGTGCCCTGTAGCTGCTTTGGGGGAAGTTGCCCAGGCGGGCGGGGAGGATGATGGGTGGCGGACTGAAGGGAGAGAATACACTTTATTCTAGATAGGTAGTTCTAAATAGGTCTCCTGCAGGAGGTAGGAATAAGGTCTCAGTCTCTACAGGACTTGGATCGTCACTCGCTCCACTCCTGCATCACACCACCCCGAGGGTCCAACTTCCGTTCGTTTGTCGCGAACTCAAAGTTTGAGTAGACAAAATGCACTGCTGGAACCCTAACCCTAGACGAGGGGTCCGAGCAGCCGACTTCAACTCCCAAAATGCTTTGCTTTACAGCTCTGCAGGTCGCGCATGCTTCAGGAAAGGCCGGCTGGCTCGTCCACTGGGGCGACTCGTCAGCTGGGTGAAGTGCGGGAAACATAGGGACCGCCATCTTAGCTTGGGGCAAACCAACTGTACACGTACGGGAGTTTCGTCTTCTTTCTGTCGTCAGTTCCTAACAGGTGCTGAGACAAAACGCGCTTAATCGCTGCAAATCTCGTTAGTATGCTTTCTGGCGACAGTTTCTCCCACGTTGCGCCCCCAGTCCGGAACGGCACCTGCAGGCACTCCTTAGCACATCCCAGCATGGCCGCACTCAGCCGGATTCTGCGGGGGGCGGAGTCGGAAGCGGTCCCGCCCCGCCTCCTGGTAGGAAGGGGGTTTCCGCTTCCGGCAGCGGCGGCTGCAGCCTCGCTCTGGTCCCTGCGGCTGGCGGCCGAGCCGTGTGTCTCCTCCTCCGCCGCCGCCATATTGTCTGTGTGAGGAGAGGGGAGAGCGGCCGCCGCCGCTGCCGCTTCCACCACAGGTACTGTGGGAGCCGCCAGGCGAGGTCGTTGGTGTGTGGAGGTGGGCCCGGGATAGGACAACGGGTCGCGGTCGGCCCTCGCGCTCCCAGCGGACTCCCAAACGGCCCATCGCCTTCCCCTGCCCCCCCCCCC